TGTACACCTACCCTTTAGCCCCCCTTATACAATTTTGGCTACGCCGATCCTACCAGGCAAAAAGATATTGTTTTTTGTTGGGGCATGGTCATGTTGTGTACAGGGAAAACGAACAGGCCACTGCTGCAGGGTCAGCAGTAATGACCTACCGTTTTATATGGTGTTCCATTTATGGACTTTTTTGCTGCAATGCTACCCAAATTCAACCCCGTTGGCAACAACTTTGGGCCCTCTACTCGAAAAAAACTTCAATCTATTAAACCGAGATAGGTTACGGGGAAGTTTTTTTTGTCACCGTGCCGAGGTTGGGAGACTACTCTCTCCCGTCTCCGCTTTGGCCCTCTCTTTTACTGTGTTATCTCGTGGAGAGGTGCCCTCTCCTTTTGTGAAATTGCAGGTTCCATTATCGGTCACCAATTCGTTAGCTGCCCACTTTATCAACGAGCACGCGAATTTCCTCCAATGTGTTTCGCCCCGTGCTATCTTTACTTCCCCTTTTTGCTGAGGGGACCCATTTTATCCAGACTCTTTCATTAAATTTTTGAAACAAGACTGATTTCACAAACCTGATTTACCTTTCACCCCTTTTTTCCTCGATTTTGCTCCCCTTACCTGCACTTCCCCTCCCCCCGCTGTTTTCTGTAACCAAGATGCCCTCCCCCTTCTGCCGCCCAATCTCTCGCTTCCTTTTCCCTACCCTGCAGCGCTGTTACCCCTTGGTTAGCACTTCTTTTTTATTATAATAATAACAGGAGAGTGTGTCTGTCAAATGTGAAAAAAGGGAAAGGGATTGCATGATCTATTTAGAAAATGCCCCCAATATGACGATATTTTGAATTTAAGGGCCCGGAAAGGTGGGTTTGAGAGTTTAAGAATTGTAGTGGGGATTCAATGTGATAAAGATGGTGAGGCTGCAGTTCAGCAAAAAAAAAGGTGAATTTTATGGCAGGACTTAAGGGGTAATAGACTGAAAACTTAAAACCCGAATAGTGTTTAATTGTGACAAACAGGCCCGTTTTGGAAGAAAAAGCCAAAAAGGCCCTACATTACTTCGGAGGCAAAAGCACTCCCGGACAAGTATGAAAGACAGGTCACACTTGTGCAGTAAGCTGTGGTGATTGCAAAGTGAAACCCTTTTCTTGTGAAACGTCTGAAAAATACCCGGTGTTCACGAAAAAAAAATATCGTCAAAAGGGTAATTCGTGTGTGATTGGAGATCAAACATTTTAAAGCATGGGCACTAGGGGAAATTTTTTTGGGAGTGGGGTTTTTTGGTGTTTGGCCCCACTGGAAAAATTACCCTGGGAAATAAATTTTCATCGAGTCCCTTTGGGAATAACAATGCTCCGCTCACCTACGACTTGCAAGAGAAATTGGGGGGGTTTAGCTTCATCAAAATTAAGTTTTGTGTTCTAAATAACTCTTTTCCTCCAGAAAGGCCAGCAGGTTTTATTTCAAAATTTAAAAAAAACCCACAAAAAAAACAGTTTCAAAAGTGCTTTTAAGGACCACGACCTCAATTGACCCCAAGAGGTTTTGGAAAGACACTTCAAAAATCCCCATTGCCTAAACCCTTTTAGGTAAGGTTTGGGAGGGAGTGACTTGCAGGACTTTTTTAACTCTGCTTGGGGAAACGTGGGCCCCAATGTGTACAAAAGGGGATTTTTTAAGGGTTTGGGGCAACCTCAGGAGCCCATGGCAGTTGTGGAACTATTTTTATGGGCCTCTTCATTGCTCCTCTTCCCGGAGCCTCTTCACCTTGTCGGGTGAAGAGGTCCCGGTCTGAGGAATTAGACCTGTCGGTCTCCCTTCCCCAGACCCCAAAATAATTAACCCCCCTTTCCCCATCCCCTCCCCCTACCCCCCTTTTTCCTTCCCGCCCCCCTTATTCCTTCCCCTTTGGCCCGTAGGGTTTTCCCACAGGCATGCTGGTTCCTAGTAGGGGGAAGGGTGGGGGGCCATCCCTTCCTTTAGGTTTTGGCGGTGGCGTAGTTTGCCCTTTGGAATTGGATCGGGGGTGTCCCAAACCCTCCCGTATCCCCGGAGGGGGGTTTGGGGTCTTTCGGGGAGGGTGTATCTCTGGAAGACCTTTCAGATTCCGGGGGTGGTGGCCGAAGGAGGTAGCTTTGTGGGGATATCTGGCGCCCCCTTCTTTTGTCACCGGTAGCTCGGCGATTGAGGTTTTTTTCCCGGGTTGCTGGTTTTTGGCATGAAGGGTTTTGAGTATGGCATGGGTTCCATGGCATCTCGTACTTGTGGTGCTGAGGTCTCTTGGGCACGGGGCCCCCCAAGGAAAATTCCCTTTATTTGTGAGGGGGTCTTGTTTAGGGAAATTTGGGTCTGTGCTCCAGTTCCCGAATTAAACCGAAAAAGCCTTCCATCCCCCCCCCCCGGGCTGTATAATCCTCCCGGGTTTTTTTCGCTTCCCCCTTATTATAATAAAAAAATTGGGCGCGGGGGAGATTTTCCCGGGCCCCTTTCATCCTCCCGGGGAAAATTCCTCCCCCCTTTTCCCCCCCCCCTTTTTTTTTTTTTATTTTCTTTTTTTTTTTTTAAAAAAAAAAAAAAAAGAAGTAACCTAACCCTGGGAACCCGTCCCTGAAACCTACTATCCCCGGGCCCCTTGTTGATTTTGGCCCCCATTCGGCCCGCCTCATTTTTTGAAATCTTTGGAACTCCCGCGCCCCCCGTACCCCTTTATGGTGCCGTTTCCCCACCCGCTTCAGGTACCGGGTTTTGACTGACTCTTCGATTTGTCTACCTTGCCTCTTTGCATTCTTCCGGCCTTCCCCCCTTGGGGCGGCAATTTTCGAATCGCCAGCCCCTTTCACGTCGGCCAAATCCGGTCCTGCCCCAAATGCCAACGACAATCTCCCGATGATCTATTGTTATCTTCCCATTTCACTCGGAAAAGACGACACGTTGCATCCGTCTCCACACCAGTTTTTGGACCCAAAGGACTAAATTTTTACTTTAAGCCATTCTTTATGCCTATCTGTTTGGAACCCCCACTTGATCAAACACTAAGAAATTAGAGAAAGTGCAAAGGTTTGCGAAGGTTAGTTCCCGGCAAGGGGAAAGTTTAGAAGAAAGGTTGAGGGAAATCGGCCCGACGGGGAAAGGAGTACGGAGGGTTTAGGGAGCTATAAAAATACAAAAAAACTGCGTAGAAAGACAAGGGGGACAGAGACAGATGTTCCGAGATGGGAACAGAAACAGGGGTCGCAATTGGAAGTTGAAGACCCAGCGGGGCAAGGAATATTAGGAAGTATTTCTTCAGTCTAGAGTAGCAGGAAGTGAAAAGCCTAGAAGTGATGTAGTGGAGGCAGGGAAACCTACATACTTTAAGAGGTAGATAAAGCCTGGCAGGGGGGAAAAGGATAGTGCACTCAGTGAAGAGGGGGGGGCCCGGAGCCGGTCTCCCGGCGGTACCAATACACACCAAAAAAAAAGGATGCCCACCCCCTGACCTAGGAAAATAGACCCCAAAAAGGGGGAAAAGGAGACATCGCATGATATCTTAGTTCATTTTGTTACAAGCAAATTTAGGAAAATTTACTTAATAGGTTGGTTTCTTTTTTCATTTAAAGAGATTTTACATGTAATAGAATTTTCTTTTATCTCTATTCCTCAATAAATGGACAATTAAACCCGAATGGCCCCTTCACATCCCCCCCCCCCCCCCCGGCCTGTTTAAAATCCCCGGTTTGCGCTCCCCTTGATTATAAAAAAGGAGAGAGGGCTTATGGCAATATTCGGGCCATAACCCTTTTCCTATGTGCGGGTTTTGTTTTATTCCCCCGTATTGTGCCCTTTTTGTTATTTATTTGATTTGTTTTTAAACGTGTGTGGGGTTGGGGGTGTGTTGGGGGTCAATGCCCCCGCGGCCCTGTCTGTGACCAGGCCTCATGGTGGATCAGGGCCTGATCAACCAGGCTGTTACTGCTGGCTGCATGCAATCCAACGTACGAACCACAGCCCCGCTGATCAGGTACCGGCTTTAGGTGCTTGTCCAGTCTGTCTGCCAAACCACAAGAAGTACGTACTTGTAACCAAGCCTAAACCTGGTCACTACAACGTTAGTCAGTCTGCTCACATTGCAAGTTGCTCTGTACGTATATTTATCTACGTTCTTAGGCTTCTAATTGCATTTCTATAACACTGTTTCATTATTTACTTCAATAATATTATTCCTAGTGCTAGACACAGGTACACCAAAATTATATTCTACATTCTCTTACCTGGTACTTGGCTAATGCATCAACTTTATCATGGAGTATTATTATTATGAGTGTAATCGTGCAGGAGCGCTAAACCTGTAGGATTATAGTGTATCTGGGGGGTGATGGAAGGTATTCAGGCTCAACTCGGGGTACCGTAGCACAGATCCAATTCCCTAGATCAAGAGCCCCTCGCCTGCATCAAGGAACCTCCCTTGAGAGGTTAATGGAGTAAGCCACCTTGAAATGTAGAAATTAATCAGTTATTCTTGCCTTATGACTTTTTTTTTTTTCACGAAGGTATACCTCAATCTCTTGCTATCCTCTACCCCTGCACTATCCCCTGCCCCGCTGTTTTCTATAACCTACTAATGATCCCTCTTACCTTTGTAACTTGTGAGCTCATTACCTTTGTACCTAGTTCAGCTATCAAAACTTTGGGGGCCCAGTCCCTGGACCCATTACGTACCTCTGTAATCTTTTGACTACCTCCCACAGGATGGGTATGTGGTGCATAATAAACATATTAAACTAACTTCCCTTCTGCCGCCCAATACCCTCGCTTCCTTCCCTACCCTGCAGCGCTGTATAGCCCTTGTGGCTTAGCGCTTCTTTTTGATTATAATAATAATAATTATTGCTCACAATACACATGGCAGCAACTCTGTTGCTAAATCAGTTTTAAAGGGAAGAAAACGTAAGTATTTGTATTACATATTTTATTCTAAAATGCATTTGTGTAAAAATACAGTACACAGTATATATACAATACATATACAAAGAAAGAACATCACAATTTATGAACACATTGTTATGGTTTGCAACAATTAAAAAAAATCATTGTTGCACTGCTCAGTCATTACATATTATCACAAAAATATGACTCGACATGTCCTTCCCTTTCTTAGATCAGACCTAATTACCTCCCATTCCCAAAGCTCTACATGTTCAGTGATCCTTATGAACGTGCTGCAATATGAAATCGCTAGACGCATGAAGATTACTGCTAATCACTTGTGATCAATACTGTATATCTAAACTAGGAAGAGATATCACATGACATAGGCTACACCTGAGACACCCATTACTGCTTTTCCAACAGGCACCGCTGTATAGCCCTTGTGGCTTAGCGCTTCTTTTTGATTATAATAATAATAATCCAACAGGCACTACCTTCACGGCCTGTCATGGCACCACTTCCAAGTCTTACCTCATTTGACAACCACTGAAGGGCTCTTTGAGCCAAGAAAATGAAGGTAGCTTTCCTTTCCTCACCCCTCAAGGGAGGTTCTTTGATGCTGGTGAGGGGCTCTTGATCTAGGGTATTGGATTTTTGCTCGAATTCCCTGAATTAAGCCTGAATGCCTTCACCCCCACAGGCGCTGTATAACACCTACAGGTTTAACGCTCCCCCTGATAATACTATCCTTTCCTCAGATCAAACCTTATTCTGCAGGTGTTGTATGACCACTTTTGTGGGTTTAATATTTCCTTGTGAATGTATTAATTCACATGACAAATACAGTAACTATATTTGAAAATTCTTTGAGCTGCAGTTTTTGGTTGAATATTTACTAACTTCTACTCTGGTTTAGAGTTGTCTGCATCAGGTTCTATGTCATTACTAATATCAACATGTGAACCTCTTTCACCTGTGAGGGGCAGACCCATGCTGGAGCTACCCGACTCTGGTGCTTGTGCCTTAACTGCATTTGCATGTTCTGCCTTCAGAAGTGCTTTCTCCCGTGCTGCTTCCAGCAAGATCTGCAGCATGTCATGATTTGCCCGAGGAAGATCAACCATGAGCGCAGGATCTAGTGCCTCTTCTCCAGGTTTTGCATATGCCATGTGCTCCTCTATTGTATATCCATATAGTTGAAAATCCAGTTTATATTTTTTGTACAACTCTAGGATTTGTGCTAAAGTGAGCTCCGAAAAGTACTGCTTGCGTATCTTGGGCGTGAGGTTGTAGACAAAATAATCTGTAGTGTTGAGTGATCCAAGACCAGCTTTCTTCCAAGCCCACTGTACGTCATGCCAGAGTGTCTCAAAGTGGGTTACCATGTTATACTGTATATGACAAGGAGTGCAACGGCGCATTGTCAACTGCCAAGAATCTTCCAGGTGGTGTGTGTCACGTGCCAGTAAGAACCTGACAAATTCCTCAAAAGTAGGCCCCTTACTATGGCCTGGGGACTGGCGGTAGGTTCGAACAATACGGCGTCCATAATGCAGATACCCATGTGGATTTTTTTCTGGGTCCTCTAATATATGGCGGTAAGATGCTAAAAGACGATCAAATGGATGACGGGCCATCAAGACTGTTATAGATTTTGCCAGGACAGTTGGGTATGCTTCCCACGAATTTAAATATGGAAAATTGTGTCGGGCAATAGCAGCTGGTGGTTCATGAAGTCTATATAATTGACGCTCCGTGAACCTACCTGTAAGCTGAAGAAGGCGACGAGCTAGCCATTGTATCCCATTCCGGGCTGCTGGACACACAGCCAAATGATGGTTCTCAGAGACTAACAGTGCTTGGTACAACGGAGACTTAGGAATATTGACCAAAGCAATTAATTCCTCTTGAGTTACATTATTACTCTTACCAGTTGCCCATAATCCTAAATTCCACCTGCAAGTAGAATAGTCACATAATAGTAAAAACCTTGCATTATTTTGATGTACAGATAGTAATAATAGACAAAAATAATACAGCAATAAAATCTTTCTGCAGTACAAATTCCAGGGATGCCCCACCTGAATGTGTTGAGCCCTGGTAAGCCCGTAGCCCATTGTATTCCCAATACTGTATGGGAACCCCTTTTACTATTGGTTTTGTGATTGCTTATATTCAGCATCGGCTCACAGACCAGCAAATGCCAGAATAATATTCTGGTAGTCAAGTTCAGCGCTAAATCTGATAGGGACACACAGTGCTGCAGGGAGGGGGAGTGAATGGAGAAATTTTAAAGAGTAGGAGAAAGTGACGGGCAAGAATGTGTAAGGGTAGGGAAAAGTGTAAGAGTAAATTAAACATAAAAGTTGGTGCAGTAGGTTATTTTTTGTTAGAAGGCCAGTGTTGGAACTTATTCGGTCCTGATACACCCCGTCAACTAACTACACGAATACCACCTGGTGGTTCACACTTACACTCACTCACCCATTTGACCATAAACAGAAATATTAATCTCAATCTTAAAATACTGAATCCTGTGATACTCCAATACTGAAACTATGTACTGTGCCAAAACAAAAGCATTCACATTGCTAAACTCACAAACTAGTATTTAGTCACTTAGCCATAATACCAACTTACCTCATAATTTGTAATATTTTACAATTAAGAATAAAACTAAGTCTGCCCGAAATGCCTAGCCATGCTAGGTGTTCTAGTGGTACACTCTGTAATCATTATTTTACTACATGTAAACCACACAATAACCAAATTCTGTAAGCTCAGCATTGTAATCCTTATGGAGAATAAACTTTGAATTGAAAAAATAAAGTTCCACAGGGTAAATAAGCCGTACGACGCCCCTAATCCCAAATAGACCGTCTGAGTTTTGCGGGCTTCACGTCAACCCAAAACATACACATACACCCGGGTTGGCGAAGTTGGTTGGAAGGTATATTTTAACTGATAGATTTACCCTTCAAGGAAGATGTAGGTAGTTTATACTGTTAGTAAACTAATATTAGGATTATTGAGGCAATTGAAGACACATGACCATAACACAAAACACAGATCTCTTTTTGATGTACCTCGTGTCCATATCACACTGTGTAAAAACTCTATGCACATAAAGGGCCCCAAAATATGGATTTCATTACCAGAAGATACTAAAGTAACCCGGTCTGAAAATCAATTTAAGACTCTTCTCAAAAACCACAATCACCCTAGACTAAATGCTAAATACTCAGTACACACATACTCGATTATGTATTCCTATATCATAATTTCAACAATTACTTTTGAACCTTTTATCCATTGTCGACAGGAATATAATTAAATCATTGTTTTCACAAAAAGCATTTTTGAATATATGAATATATCTTTTGTCTTATATAAATTAGATTCACTTATAATTAATAATCTACTGTAGAACTATGATATAATTAATATTCTACTGTACAACTATGATATAATTAATAGTGTTAAGTAGTCAGTTAAGTTGGCCCATAATGCCTAGGCATAATAGAGGCTCTCTCTGCATTGCAACCCATTACTGTAAATACATAATCTCAATGAACTATTTGCAAAGACAAATAAATAATGTAGGCCTAAGACCTTAACGTAGGTAGGAATAGGCCTTTAATATTGGCAAACACTAGGTTATATTAGCTATGAAGAACTGGCAGCCCAAGCTTGAACGACGAGGCGTTGGTCTTTGAGACACCAGTGCTTTCTTCTAAGACAGGACACTATCCTACCAACAAGTGCCTTGAACAGCTGGGCGGCGCCCCCACATGTCTACATATAATAGACCTGGGGAGATCTGGTGGAGGCACCTCTAAGCACTGTAGATGCCCTTCTCCATCATGCCCATTACAGTAAGACAAGATCTCTCTTTCTCAGTATTCTGGCCAGGTTCTGGGGGGAAACGCGAGTGAGTTACACTGTGGGTCTGTGTGCAGTCGGACGCCCATAGACCAGTATGTACCGGCGTCCCCTCTTTAAATTACAAGCTTAGAAGCTAGTGTCACTTCCTGCTTAGTTATACTAGGGGATACACACTCCCTTGGAATCAGGAATTTCTGTGGTGCAGGCAGGTCACTCATACCGACTAAATATTGCAGGAATTAGGTTCCCGACTGCACGTGGTGACTTGAAGGGAAAAGTCCAGAGGGGCTAAGGCTTAGGGAGGTTGAAGACCGGGTGATATATTCTCCAGCACCAAGTTAGTTAGTCCCTATTCGTGCATGAAGGTGGAAATTCTTTCAACATCAGTTATTTATGAAAATGTGTCATATAAACCACTTGTGAGGCTGAGGTACCAACCTCAGAGCTCAGTGTCAACAGAGCTTGCTAGGGTAGATAATTCACATGGAGGCAGTCCAGATAAATTTCCACAGTCAGTATGAGTGTGCTGGGGCACTGGAGTTGTCAAAAGTGAATTCTGACTGACAATGTGACCTGGCAATTCTCAGAGTAGTGCTGGGCATTTTTCCACGACGTACCCGTGAGATGCATGTAGCAGATATGCAAGAGTGTGTAGTTTCCCAAACGTGGCAGAGATGGACAGAATCCTAAATGTGACGTGATAGAAAATTTGTGGTTCAACTTGGGCCAATGTTGTTGCCAGCAGTTACGAAGTTGTTGAGAGATCACTAGAAAATAGTCTGAGAAAGGAATACCCCTGTGGGAAATATATCATGAGCACTGACGAGTACAAGGACCCAGCAAAAAAATGTTAGAAACACAGCATAACCTAAGTTGTATACAAAGCACAATGGGATGATGGAGCCAAATTTCTGGATAATCTGTAGTACACTGAGCCTCCAAAATGACTATGAAGGACGAGGCGGACATCGATGTAATGTGTATGATAGCAGTGAGAAATGTCTATTTATACTCGGCTGTGAGAACACTGACCAGTTCTAGTAAATTATCCTAATTTTTTTTTTCAGGAAAAACTGCTACTTACCCAGTACAATCAGGGGATATAGAATCGTCAATGTACACTGCAATAACATGAGAATGGAAGTTATCTATCACGCAGGAAAGTGAGGGAGAAACAAACGTGAAACTTTGTGACTTTTCAAGGATGGAAAGAAAAGCAAGATGCTGGGTGAACTTAATGGGAAGGTAAAGTAAGACAAGCCAATAGAATGAATGTGGAGAGGAAAGGGTCATAATAAATGCAGGTAACGAATAAACAAATTAACCTTGTTAATATATGTTGTCCTATACATATAGGGCCCCTCAAGAGAAGTTCCTTGATGGTGGTGAGAGGGCTCTTGATCTAGGGAATTAGATCTGTGCTCCAATTCCCTGAATTAAGCCTGAATGCCTTCCCCCACAGGTGCTGTATAATCCTTATAGGTTTAACGCTCCCCATAATAGTGATACAGTGAGCATCATGCCAATCTTGCAAGGATTTGGCCTTTGCCTGTCATATAAACTTCCTCTTTAAGGGGGGCTCCCTGTCATGGTAAAGAGGCTCTTGGCCTGAGGAATTGGACCTTTTGGTCTTCTTCCTCAGACCAAACCTAATTACCCTCCAATCGCCCCATCCCTATCCCATCCTCCCCATCCCCCCTTTTTTACCCTTTCCTCCCCCCCTCCCATCCCTCCCTTTTCCCCATCCCATTTGTAGCCTCTGGGATCCTCCCCTCTGGCATTTTGGTTTTTAGGTAGGGGCAAGTGTGCAGGGGTTCATCCCGTTCCTCGAAGCTCCTCAGGAGTGGTGTAATTTGCCGTGGAAACTGGAGGCGCCCTGCTCCCTTCCCGGATTTCCAGGAGGTGGGGCAGGTTATGATGAATGGTTTGAAAAACCAATTCATCATAACCCCATACCCATCCTGTGGGCGGTAGTCAAAAGATTACAAAGGTACATAATGGGTCCAGGGACTGGACCCCAAAGTTATGATAGCTGAACTAGTTACAAAGGTAATGAACTTCAGGTAGATCTGGTCACAATCATGGCAAGTTACAAAGGTAATGAATCAGCCTCACTCCTATACATGGTTACAGTCATGAACAAATTACAAAGTAATGAGCCACGGATACGTCCACACCTGGTCACAATTGTAATGAGTTATAAATGCAAATATTAAGTGGGTCATACACCCACACGAGCGCGCGCGCACACACATACACACACGAGGGCGCACGCACAGACACATGCACATGAGCGTACTAATATATGCATACACACAAGCACGCACACCCTACCCACACAAAACACCACACAAAACACACCACACACACACACACACACACACACACCACACACCACACCACACACGCACACACGCACACAATACACACATACACGCACCAACACATACACGCACACATACACACATCACACCCAAAAACAACAACACACCACCCACACACACCACACCAAAAAGAGGAAGTTTAAGACAAGAGAGAGGGGTGGGTTTGATTGCTCTTCTTGGACTGCAAGAAAGGCCTTGACACAGTTCCTCCCAAAGATTAGTGCAGAAATGAGCATAGGCGCATATAACAGGAAGGGCACTGAATGGATCAGAGAAACCTGACAGGGAGGCAACAACGAGTCATGGTACGTAATGATGTATCACAGTGGGCACCTGTGACGAGCGGGGTTCCCCCCAGGGGTCGGTCCCAGGACCAGTGCTATTTTTGGTATATGTGAAACGACATGACGGAAGGGTTAGACTCAGAAGTGTCCCTGTTTGCAGATGATGTGAAGTTAATGGGAGAATTAAATCTGATGAGGAACAGGCAGGGGCTTCAAAGAGACCTGGACAGACTGGGGCACCTGGTCCAGCAAATGGCTTCTCGAATTTAATCCTGCCCAAATGCAAAGTCATGAAGATAGGGGAAGGGCACAGAAGACCACAGACAGAGTATAGGTAGGTGGCCCAAAGACTGCAAACCTCACTCAAGGAGAAAAGATCTTGGGGTGAGTATAACACGAGCATGTCTCCGGAAGCACACATCAATCAGAAAAACTGCTGCAGCATATGGGCGCCTGGCAAACCTGAGACAGCATTCCGATACCTTAGTAAAGGGAAACATTCAAGGGCACTGTACACCGTGTATGTCAGGCCCCTACTGGGGTATGCAGCACCTGTTTGGAACCCGCACTTGATAAAGCACGTCAAGAAACTAGAGAAAGTACAAAGGTTTGCGACAAGGTTAGTTTTTCCCGAGTAAGGGGAATGTCCCATGAAGAAAGATTAAGGGAAATCGGGCCCTGACGACACTGGAGGACAGGAGGGGTCAGGGGAGACATGATAACGACATATAAAATACTGCGTGGAATAGACAAGGTGGACAAAGACAGGATGTTCAGGGAGGGGACACAGAAACAAGAGGCCACAATTGGAAGTTGAAGACACAAATGAGTCAGGAGATGTAGGAAGTATTTCTTCAGTCATAGAGTTGTAAGGCAGTGGAATAGCCTAGAAAATGACGTAGTGGAGGCAGGAAACCATTCACAGTTTTAAAGGGCGAGGTTTGTTAAAGCTCATGGAGCGGGAGAGAGAGGGCCTAGTAGCAACCGGTGGGAAAGGCGGGGCCAGGAGCTAGGACTCGACCCCTGCAACCACAAATAGGTGAGTACAAATAGGTGAGTACACACACACACAATTTGTGAATGACATGACGGAAGGAATAAACTCCGAGGGTGTCCCTGTTTGCGATGACGTGAAGTTTGATGAGAAGAATTCATTCGATTTGAAAAGACCAGGCAGAACTACAAAGGGTTGGACAGGCTGCAGACCTGGTCCAGCAATTGGCTCCTGGAGTTCAATCCCACCAAGGCAAAGTCATGAAAAATTAGGGAAAAGGGCAAAGAAGACCACAGGGCGGAGTACAGTCTAGGGGGCCAGAGACTACAAACCTCATCAAGGAAAAAGATCTTCCCACTTTAATTAAGGAATCGTCAGGCCCTGGTTTCACGTGAGTTAGGCCCCTTTTGGGTAGCGGCACCAGTTTGGAACCCATAAATACCAAGTTGTAAAAAAAACTAGAGA